GGCGATGGGTATGCTGTAGCCGTCCGTCTCTCTTATGACATCATACTTATCAGTCCGACTATCAGACTGGCGTGGCCATGGGGGTTAAATCAAATGGTGTTGATGGAAAATCGCTTCGCGCAAAGCTTACCGGAGACGACAACCTTTGAGGGAAGCATGCATGTTACTGAATTCTCCATGAAACAAATTTCCCTGTTTTGCGGTCATGTTTACCCAGATTTGGAAATCAAGGTTAGAACATTTTGGCTTCAGAGTTGAGCAGGAAGTGAGCGGTGCAAAATGTTCACATAAGCATCTAGTCATCAGTAAAGAATGCAAGGTAGGATTTGTTCCACAAACACTCTTTGCTTCTTTCGCCTATGCCGAGCTTTAACCTCAGCTTTAGGAACCTTTGTCTGGTGTCATAAGATGATCACTCGGTCATTGTCGTTCAAAATGTGGAACTGTAGTACTAGTGTACGTTGATACTAGTCGAAGCAAAGGGGTATCTAGAGTTCTCAGAATTCCTACTGGAGTAAACGAGAATCAGGAGCTGCAGTAGATGCAGTCATCCATTGAAACGATCGGACGTTCATGGATCAAAATAAGGTCTCACGTGTTTCTTAGCAGCTGTGACCCGGATGCGTAGACGTCTTCATGAAAGTTTTATTATGAGATGATCTACCTACCTTGAAAATAGGGGATGCACAGGATTACACCACTCTCTACGAGGGGGAGTTGAATAGTTACGGCAAACCTTTTGTGGAACAATAGGGGCTAACAGAAAACAGGTGAACGTTCTTTCAGAAGGAGTCATTGCTCTCTATGTATATGGCTCCTCGATGATTTAAGATTTTTTCATTCACTATGAAAAGACAACTTTTGAACTCACGTTAGTAAGTTGTGACCACCCTCGTTGCCAAGCACTTTCCGTGTAGGCGTCATTGGGATACGGTAGTTTGAGGGGTGCTCGGTCGCCATGACGCCAGATCGCTTGAACGAATACGAGTTCTTTTGGGACTACCGTTGAAACTAGGCTATAGAATGAACCCGTACACAGGAGTAACGACCACAACCGAGGCTTCATCCTGAAACAGTTTACCTGGGTAGGCATCACAAGAATCATAAGCAAGAGCACGACAGCGAAGTTCAGCGTGAAGAAGAAAGTAACTCTAGTAACTAATCCTTTCGCTACTGCAGATACCTTTCACTGGGCAGCAAAGAACACCAGCAAGACTCAATATAAGAATTTGTGCAAACAGCGAGTCAAAAGCATGAAAGGGTATTGAAATACTGATGACTTTGTATGAAGGAATTAAGAGCGTGGTGATTATGAAGACATCAAAAACGCAGAAAAGTGAAAGCAATCGAAAAACTGCCACTGTATTACAACCGTTTCTCTTTTTAGCCATCGTCTCCACGGAGTTAGATTGATGGGGTCAATCTTTGAAAACTGGCTCGTTACCAGCAGTGAAATCGTTCTGGTGAGCTGATGCACTCTTCCAACAACTCTCGAACGTTTTTCCAGGTCTAAAGACTGTGATGTTGTCGAACAAACAAGCAAAAAACAGGTGGTAACACTAGCATTCTCTGGACGAGTTTACGTGCTCGCAACATTTGCGACAGTTTCGGAGACAGCACTGAGCTTCTGGCTCATTGCTTCTTCCGAAGTTTTGAGAAATACCATGAACACTAATTCGTAGAAAGCACGAATTCCTTCGAAACGAATGCTCCCCCGAATGAACTTAAATGAAACCGCAATTTGCGTTCCTTTGCTCATGTAAGGATCAATCACATTCCAAAAACGCATTGTAATGGGCAAACCAAAGGGACTGGTCAGTGAGGGGTGATGCCGACAGAAAGTTTGGAGGTACCGGAATCTGGTAGCTATTCCCGGCATTTCATTCATCACCGAAAACATTCCGACGGTCTTATATAATGCTTTTACACCTTTTAGTTAGTGCTTTCATCCTCCCAGACAAGACTGGTACATTTACGCAACCCCGAAAAGATGGCAAGCTTGATTGGCCGAGACTGGAGCTTCTTACAAAATAAAATGAATGACTTCGAGCTTTAATTGCCTGACATTTAACTTAGTATTCAATCGACTGCTTCAGCAGTTGCTAACTGAAGACTTTCTGACTGTTTGCTGAACAACAGTAGATCTGAGATCTAGAGTGTAGAACCTCAGGCTGTGCAAGTCGGTCTGCCTTTATTGGGGCAATTTGGAGCTTCAAGGGACTCGACCTACATAGGTATGGCTTCCTAAGCGAAAGCAGTAGCATCTAGAAGAACGGCTGGTATCTAATTCTGCTTTCAGTAGGACTATCCGAAATTCATTACTAACAAGACTTTCCCCCCCCCCCTCCGCCGCTCCCCTAACTCTTTGATAGTATCTTTGAGAGGGCAGGTATGAGTGCGAAAGCGATCAAACCAGATGATTCAGCATAGATTCAGCAAAAAGACTACTAGACTAAGTCGCCGAGCAAGGAAGAAAGGCGATACGATCAGTCATGGGTTAATCCTTCAGAAGAACCAGGTGAATGACATGCTTAGCGAGTGAGCTACGGATCTCGAAGGATTCTGCAATTTCGATAAGGAATGTGCTTTTTGTAGGGGTGAAGCACACCTTCAGCTCAGCTCGGTGCTATCTTGGTATTATGAAAAGGTTGACGCCTACCTATGCTCAAGATTAGACCCGATTATCGGTCAAACGTGGATGATAACGCAACATTAGTCAGAGAAAACGTGACAAGCTCAAGCGAACAGCTTTGGAGCGGACGTGCCGTAAAGCAAACTTACTGATAGGATAGTTTCTGATAACCCCCTTGACATGTCACTCTTTCCAATATTACCAAATTGCCTTTCCAGTAGAATCTTTACGAAATTTCAGAATTGAACGAAAGACAAACCTACGACGTGATTCTTATGGAGTATAAACACCTAGAAGGGTCTAAAAGTACTTCTCAGAAAAAATCAAAGTGGAAATAGAGCACATTACGTCGTGCTCCTAGCTGCAGCTGGACAAACTAAACCTTTCATCCCTCCGTAGTCGATTAGTGGGTACCAGTTCAATCTGAGAGGATTAAAGCACTGACTTGCACACCATCGCAGGTCACCGCAAGTCATTGTAACAGCTGCACACGCATTCAAAACCCACTATGGTTCCGAATGGAAGTCGAATGCGGAGCGCATGCCTGATACGGGTCCGCCACGGACTCATCCTTTATCTTTCCTCCCTTTGAAGATGAGAAGTGGAAGTGTTGATGGAAAACACTGCATCGACGGCGAAGAAAGCGAGAAAATCTGCCAAAGATCAGTGGAATTAGTGGATGCACGAGATTACTATGTCGAAAAAGTCATGGAAGGTAGATGGGCGAGATTTCAGATGATGCGATTGTGGAAAGAGCTGATTATATCTAGCCACAGTGTCTAAAACTGCCGTTCACTGTTGCCATGGGTCACGTCTGCTTGTTTTTACTCTATTACGGGTGTCCCTTGTAGACCGTGCATCCTTTGAATGCCTTCTAAACTCTTTCGCCGTTAGGTGTCGTCGTCCACCTTCTCCGATACAATAATCGAGCCCTTAGAACTCCTACCCTATCGAGGACATTCTCGACAGCATGTCGTATGATATACGGGCAGATCACAGTCTCGTCCTAGAGGTTTTCTTTAAAAACTGTGTTTTGGTGGAATGTGCAATCATAGAAAATGGAAGTGTGGTTCTTCTTGGTTTTTTTTCCGAAAAATCATCGTGTCAGGCTATGCTCAGCATTTTGAGAAGTAGTTGAAAAGCCATCGGACATATCTGGGGAGCAGAATATATCCTTCTTTCGAAAATCTTTTCGTTTCTTAAGAGGAGAGTGTATCGCATGTTCGCGACCATTTCTCGTGGATACGGTAACTTCGTTTCATCTTCAATCATACGAACTGAATGGTAAAACAAATTAGGCATAGTAGGGTTTAGTCTGAAGCGATAGGAACCATAATACATTTAATTTTGAATAGGTACAAGACATTGTTCTGAAAAACCTCGATACTGTAGGCCCAATAAAGAGAAGACATTAAGAGAAACAGGATATTGACGACAGCCTTATGTATATGGCCTACGTAATGACATAGACTGAAGCAGGGTGTTGCACGAGGCACTGTTTCATAGGAACCTGACACGAGTGTAAAAGTGACCCAGGTTTTGGGTGAAACTATATATGGATGCAAAAGTTGGGTAGGAATTTGAGCGGACATTGCTTTCGAGTAGCGCCTCCTGGAATGCCAAACTACTTTCTGTTGTCTACTTTTCCAAGAATTACCAAGTAGGTAGGAATGTGATTTCAACCTCTTCTATCTCCCCAATTCGCAAACGTACTCACAGGAGACAAGAGCAATCTGAGTTTTCTGCACGGGGAATCGGGACTTTTTGAACAATAGTGGGAATGCGTTACGTTTGAGAAGTATTCGCTCCGAAACATTGGTTTGAAAGTGCTCCCCTGGACACAAAGTAATTACGTCAGACCAGGAAGTAGTAGAATAAAAGGTGTAGGTCTCTGTTCGAGGAACTGCTGGTATGTCACAGAATATTGTCATTCTGAAGAAGTGGGTTCCAATTTGACATCTACAAAGTCCCACTTGGGTTTCCCTTTTTCGTCCCCCAGAAGTTCTTCATTTACGTTCTTCATCGCCAGGCTAAGGATAGCCACACAGAGCTGCTAACTAGAAGATTGTATGATTGAGGGCGTTTTTTGAAATTTATGGGCCTATATGGTTTTCAACCAAAGTTGTATATAGAAACCAAAACTAGAGGTCGGGAAAACGTCGAACATCGTATGGAGACAGTGTTATCGGCGCAAATAGGGCACACCTGAATTTGCGCTTCTTCTATTTTGCTCAACTAGAGTGTCAACACTTTCGTCCGTATCGTTGAGAATCGTCTGAGAAGACACAATCTTCTCAATACGTTTCTTTCCCTTTTCAGGACTGTTCGTGGAAAAGTTACGTCAGAGTTTTCGGAGGCTCTACTGTCGTGATTATTTTTCTTTTTAATAATACGTGTAGGGATTCACTGAGACCTTCCTGATAAGGCAAACGCTGCAAGAAGGTAAGATGGACTCATGCTCTCGATGCAAGTGTAGTTGGGAGAAATCTTACCATTTCATGACTTGTCGTTTTTGGTCCCTGTTTTTTTCGCAGCACCTGTTTCGCAGGTCATGTAATGGTAAGATTTCTTCCAACAACACTTGCATCGAGAGCATGACTCCATCCTACCTTCTTGCAGCGTTTGCCTTATCAGAAAGTCTCAGCGAATCCCTACACGTATTATTTATTTTTTTATTCGCCTGTTTTTAAGCAGTGCTGGTTTAAGGTTTGGCTGGATTCGTCAAGTATTCGAAGAAGGGCCAGGGAGGTATCAGGTCTAGGTGAGCTGCAAAAGTATGCTCAGAAATGACAGTTACGCCCAGGGAATCAACCTGTTTACGGCCTAAAGGACTCACCGGCCCTAGAAGCTCAGGAGTCTGTCCCGAGAAAAATCTCGAAACTTTCCCGAGAAGTTTCTTGAACTGAGTATTTGTCGCTGAGCAAATCACTAATCTAGTGATCAGCTTTATTTCTTGTTAGTGAACAAAAAACATGTAAAAGTAGCGCTTCCTACGGAACACTAGAAATGGCCCAGTGCCACGACGACTCGAAGTGTAACATGAGCCCACCGAGTGAGTGACGACAACTTCTCAATTTTATCGCCTCTCCTCCACAACCACAAATATTTGCTGCAGTCACATGTACCGACAGCTACAACGCCTCGAATGCGTCTCCCATTCCAAAACAAGAGTGTCGTCGAAACCATGGTTAGGAAATCGTGGTGACTACCGTAAGGAAGCGGATAATTTAACTATCTAAACCTTACTGTGGTAGTAAAGTCTGTGACAAAGACTAGTAACAGCACTGCGTTAACACAATTTCATCACTTCTTTTGCTATGCTTGATACAGGGAAATGCTCGATTTGTGACGACCTTCCTGGATCGTTTGGAATTCATGTTGCCTCCTTACGCACTCTGAACAATGGAAAGCTAATGGTGCAAGATCGACTCAGA